AAATCATCTCTTGTAGTATGGATACAAAGAAAATCCATGGAAAGATCTAGAACATAAAATGAAGCAGAATGCAATGCTGTTGTAGAAAGAGATTCCTGAGCGTTAAAAAGAAATCTATTCTGAAGATTTTTAAATGGCATCACTTCCAAAATATATATCTTCTTCACATATAAGAAAAATGAGTAACAGATGAGCTTAACATATATTTAGCTTAGTCAATTCACTTTGTCTAATGCTACCTATAGACCACAGACCACTTTCATCTGTATTAAATCAATATGAGATGATTAAAGAGAAATTTGTGGTTTATACCACAGAATATATTCTATAATTTATGCAGTCATTGATTTAATCAATCAACTATAAATGCAAGGAAAGTGAAAAAATCATGTACACTAAAGCCAGCTCCAGGATTTATCCCACGGTTTTGCTATGTCAGGCTGAGATTCCAAATAACAGCACCCAGTGAACTTACCATTACTTCAGCTGTGCAAAGGCGGGAGACTATCAGCTTTGCTTGGATGAACACCTTTGCAAGCCCACTGAGGACATAAGACTCGAAGGGCATGAACATTGGTGGAAAACCAAGGTATGAGGCAGGAAAGGAAAGCTCTGGAGCAAGATGAAAAGAATCTGGGTCTCTCTCAGAGAAAAGCAGGAAGGCAAAAGCAAGAAGCAAGAAGATTCTAGAAATCTGGGCCCTGTGCAATGCTATTCCTTCCTTGTATCATAGTTAAATCACAGAATCTTGGAACAACAATCACTCAATAGTTGCATCTAACTGCTCCCTGATCTCCCCCGTCTCTTGGCTCACTGGCCATCCTTCACCCAGGATCCTCTATGGTACCCTTAACTCCTCCCCCTTCCAGCATCTATCAGTTCCACAGTTTCTGCCTCTTCTATATCTCATATCTTCTCTATCCTGCTCTTTAAAAGAAAGTGTGTGTGTGTGTGTGTGTGTGTGTGTGTGTGTGTGTGTGTCTTGAGAGCTTGTTTAGAGGTTCTAGCAGGGGAGTGCAACTATTCATATATCCTTGATTGAAGACTGGTCCTCGTCTATGGTGAAGGTTGTCCTCTTTGATGGAGTGCACAAGTTCAGGAGGAAAATACATGGAATGTTGAGGGAGAAAAAGGACACCTGCCTAACCAGACAGACCAGTCACATCAACCTTGGCAATCAATAGAGTGTCAGATGTCACAGTTATCCTTTGTGTGTGTGTGTGTGTGTGTGTGTGTGTGTGTGTGTGCATGTATATACCCATAGAAGCCAGAAGAGTACGCCCTGTGTCCTCCTTTATCACTCTCCACCTATTCCTTTGAGGCAAGGTCTCTTGCTGAACCTGGTGCTTTCATTTTCTCTGCTTAGGCTAAAAACTAGAAGTCTCCGCTATCTTCCTGTTCCTCCCTCCCCCTACCTGAGAGGTAGGATTTGCAGGGATGCCTAGCTTGTTATGTAGGGGCTAGGATCTGAATTCTAGTCCTCATGATTGCAGAGCAAGCACTCTTAACTGCCAAACCATCTCTCCAGCAACCCTAACCCCTCTCTGTCCCTACTGATGTCACCTTCATTCTGGCAGGTCTTTTTCTTACTCCCCCCACCCTTTTTTCCCCTTTTTAAATTTCATACTGGGAAATGACTATAAACAGACATTGGACTAGGATTGGTTCCACTCTGACCCAACTAGGCCATTTGCTGACTCTTGTAAGAGTCCGAACAATACAGAATATACTGATATTGGACCATTATGTTCTTAGGGCAAAGGTAGGGTTATTCAGGTCAGTAAGGGCTATAGTGTAAGACTGTCTAAAAACAAACCCACAGACAAAACAAAACAAGAAATAGGGCATAAGAACAAGATGGGAAGGCCTTTGTTTAAGGTAAGGCTCAGACTCCCATCTCTCTCTGGCTTTATGTGTGCTGAAGTTTAGATCCTGAGCAGGGAAGACGTGTTTGAATGTGTTCTTGCTACCAGGAAGGAAGTTGTGCCTTTGAGACAGTGGGCTGGGAGCCAGCTGTAAAGCGGTCTACAGGGAGTTCCTAAAGATGGGTCTGGATTTAAGCCAGGGGCTCTGAGTAGCCACACGTGTGTTAAATGTTCTGTAACTTTGAGCTGTGCTTCCATTGTTGTCGAACTCAGATCACAACTGTCTCTCTGCTTTCACTGTGGGGAACTGTGGGAGGATATGTGCCCCAGCACAAGGCAGGACCAGAGGAGGGAGCAGCTCCAGGCAGCAGTCTTGAGCTGTAGAAGCAGTTTTGTAAGAGTAGTTCACGAGAAGGTGAAGCAGCAATTTGGGACTAGAGGGGCAGCCGAGGAAAGATGACCAGACTAGATTTGCAAAACATATGCGTTTCACTGAAGATTTTCAGAAATCTGTGGAATGGGATCTCAGGAAGTCTGACTTTCTGTATTCAAATGAGATTGAGGCTCAAGCCATTAAGACCAAGTGAGAATTCACAGGCTGGTCCTGTAGAGAGCTGTTAGGGCATCTCTGCAGAGAAGGTTTTAGCAGCTAGAAATAAAAAGCTACTCACAGACATGGGATTCTGCCTCATGGTTCAGGACTTATGCCTTAGCCTGCCCTAGTAAGCTGCTCCTGACCAGATGTGAGCACATGAAGTGCCCTTGCCCAACATTCACTGGCTACAAGTTCAATGGCCACAACTCTCAGAGGGCTGGGGTATAGGACTTCTGCTAAGAGACAAGGGCTGGAGTGTGAGACATAGGAGGAGGATAGAGTAGCCCCCTCAGTGCATCATTAAGTATTAAACCCTAAGGTTACCCAGTCAAGAAGTGTCTGAAGCTCTTTATGTGGCCTCTGTCACTAAGCTGTCTTCCTCGTCATTTACGGGGTAGAAATTCAGGGTGTATTTTAGTTCCAGCACCACTAAAGCATTTACAGTGGCTGTGAAGAACACACATAGCTGGAGCTAGAGGCACGTTGATGAAAAGTCCCCTCATCATGTGACTTGATAGACAGTGGAAGATTTCTCAATCTTGGTGTTTTGGTGTGGGGAAGCCTCTGGGGCATCACAGACAAGAATAGGACAGGAGTTTAAAATCAGTATCAAGCAGCCAGGGCTGAGATAGGCCCAGGACACATACGTTTCTTTGCCCATTTTTCCAAGGGCAGAGCACCAGCTCCTTAGTGGGTAGAGAGCTGAGAAAACAGAAGATACATACCAAGTATAACGTATAGTCATACAAGACATTGTAAAAGCAACCCATGTGCCCACTGAAGGCCCTGCTAGGTAGCAGTCTACGGGGGAGGAGGAGGCACAACATAGCTTGATCAGAAAGTGTACTCAAGGGTAGAATAAATTGTTCTAGGTGACCAGGGCTGTCATGTCATCAGAAGCCATTAGGGACTCGGCAATAAAACCACTTCTTCTAACATATGTGTGGTCATGTACAGGGGGTACCTGAAGAAACGCCATTGTGTGTGTGCCTGAAAACACACACATGCACACACACACAACACCACCACCACCTCTGCAGCACTCATAGGTAGAGGATACTTTGGTTGACTATTTATAGTATCTAAACAGTTAATATAGTCTAAGTCAGATTTAGATTCTGTAATCAGTATGTCTCTGAAATTGAAGTTTTCTTCAGGTATCGTTGTTCTAGAATAATTTCTTATTTGGGCTCAGTAACAATAGTTGGTTGATTCTAAGAAGGTCCTGGCACCACAGAGACTTTGAAATAAAGAGTGTGGAAATAGACCTCTCTAAGTCCCTCAAGTGGGATGCATTTTTTGGTTATCTCTCAGACCGAAGAGCAACCTATACATTGATCATATGCTTGGAAGCATATGTGCCCTTCTTCAAACTTCTTTCTTTGCTAGTAGGTATGATGAGATGGAGAAATCACCCAGACTTGATTAGAATCACACAGGGAAGGAACAGCAATTCAGGGTGAGAAGGTTGACTCTTAAATATCTCTCCAGGATCCCTAAGAATCACATTGTCCTAAGCCTGAGTTCACTCATCCTGGCAACAGAGGATGGAGGCCAGAGGCCCTTGTCTGTCATAATCATGATGTCTCCCACCTCCATGAATGCTTAGAGGGTCTGGAGAAAGGGCGGGAAGACTTCAGGAGGAAATGGGTAGAGACTTTCAGGGTACATCTGAAAGAGACGGCAGTAACAATTTAGAACATGGCTCTATTTTGGCTTTTGAGTCATAGACCAGAAAGGCCTCCGTGCCCTGCACAGCCTGCAAGGGCAGGACATTGGGATTCATTCCTGTCTCTAACTATCAGAGAAAACTCCCTGGAGGTTCTGGTTAGAGGAGGAGTTGAGGGGAGAAAGAAAATGGCATAGCATGAAAGGACAACATGCTTTCTTCATACTCAAGTGTCTGTGAGTCAGTGTCCCTGCCCTAGTCTAGCCTGTCACTTAGTCCATCCTCTGCACTCAGCACCTCCAGGTCCCCAAGGCCATCTCCTTCATCTGTCTCCCACCTTCAAAGCACAGAACAAGTGTCCCAATTAGGTCAAACCCTGGAGGAGCTCAGCTTCTCTCTGAGAACTGAGGTAGATCCTCTTCTCCCAGAATCCCTGATGGCATGTCCCTGGTACATATTCAGAGAACAATTTCATTCACTACCTTCCCAAAGGTCACCCAACGAGCTCACATCAGGCCTCTTGGTTTTTATTTGCTGGGGAGAAATATCATGATACCTTTTTGTTGTTGTTTGTTGTATTTTGCTTGTCTTTAGTACAAGTCAGAACTGTCCTACAAGCAAATATCTCTTGGTCTGTGGCTAATCCAGAAATAATCTATTACATCATTGTTAATGTTACATAATACATTATCACGTTTTTAAAACATCCCCCCATTTTTTCCAAAATGACACTATGAAACGTTCTGCTGTCCATTGCTCTGGTTCCTGATCATCTTCCTGAGCTAGAGGCTGACTTTGTGAGAGCCAGGTGATGAGCAGGTAGTACCTGAGCCTCCCGCATGTCCTTGGATTTCAAAGTGCATCTAGACAAGGGCCGAGGTAAAAGTAGGTACTTTGGGTTTGTAGCTGAGGCCATGGGCATGGTAAAGAACAGAGACACACAGTTCCAAGTTCATCCCTACACTGGGGAGACAGAACAGACAACTGGAGCAGGACTATGCTCTTACAGACTGGGGGCAAGGGTCCTGCTCCCACTTTCCTGTGCTCTGGTCAGCTGCCCCCACCAGGAGGGAAATTCTGCCTAGCCCAGTTTCCCTGGAAGCCTGGAGAAACTGCAGAGCTCTGGGAGGGAGGGAAGAGGAAATGGAAGGAGGGAAAGAGGGACAGATGGTAAAGAAAGCTCCAGGGGCCTTAGAGAGGTTTCCTAAACACCAAGTGACCTGTGATGTGTCCTAGGGACCCAGCCACTGGGACAATGAGCTGGTTCCTACAAGGGACCTGGTTCTGATTCCAGCACATTCCGTTGCCAATCTTTCTTCAAGAAAGTCCAGACAGTGAGCTTTTGGGAGGGAACATGAAGGTGAGGCAGCCTATTTGCTAACAGAAGCAGAAAGTCAAAAAATAGTTCTGGGAGAAGGGAGGTGGTAAAGACAGAATGTGGGCCTCCTGGGGCTCTGCCAGCCATGCGGACCCTTCCCTGTGGTGCCCTTGTGAAGTGCCATTTCACGTTTCCTGAGTCTGTGTGAATGAGAACCACTAAGCGAACCTGGAGGGAAACATCCATCTGAGCCGGGGCAGAGTGCACTTACCTCCATCAGCAGTGGAGAGGCTCTGTGGAGACAAAAGCAGATAGAGAGTCACTGTGCATGTGGGGCGTGATCACTGACCCACTTTACCTCTCTCCCCAGGCCCAGGCCCAGGTCCTGAACTTGAGAGTGGCCAGCAAGACCCATGCTTGCTGTTCTTCTGGGAATTTTTGGGGGGAACCCCCAAATTTAAGGGAATACTTAAGGATTTACCCTCTTCACATTATACTGAATTTCAATGAATTTATTGAGATTATTTCAATTATCCAGCAACTATTCTGAGTGGTGTTGGAGAAGCTATATTAAAAAATCCCATCATGAACCTAATTTCATTCAGTTGTTTTCTGTCACTGAGCTACAGAGACAGGAGGTAGGAAATGGAGTTAGGATCCTGAGGTATTCAGAGCCTGATGGCCTTTATGGCTTCTCTGCTCGCTGCTATTTGGAGGCATCTGTTTTCACATACAGGGAAACTCCATGTACTTACGCCTTTGTATTGGAATTTGTGCCCATTTGATACAGTGCTGCCTCTGGCCCTTCAAATAAGAAAGACTCAAAAGGCAAAGTAGGGGCTGGAGAGATGGCTCAGCGGTTAAGAGCACTTGCTGCTCTTGTAGAGGACCCAGGTTCGATTCCCAGCACCCACATTGGGCAGCTCACATCTGCCTATAACTCCAGCTCCATGGGCATTTGTTTCCCCCTTCTGGCCTCCCAGGGTGCTACACATGCAGATAAGCATGAAGACACACATTCACATAAATAAAACACAATATTTTTAAAGGAGAAATTGAATTAAACCCAGGGGAGGGCATTTAATCTGCTTATTATGTGTGGTGGGTGTCGGGGCGGGAATGTGCACATGTGTGACGGTGCTCTTGGGAGTCCAGAAAAAGGCACCAGGTATCCAGGGCTGGAGTTATAGGTAGTTATGAGTTGCCTAAAGCAGGAATTGAAATCCAGTCCTCTGCATGAGCGGCACACATTTTTTAACCATTGAGCCTTCTCTCACAGCTCCTCTAATCTATCTAACAAGAATTGAGCTTGGATTCTGAAGTCCAACAGAAGACTTTTCAGACCTTAGGCAGATATGGGGTATGGACCCCAGTAGGCAAATGGGGTGCATTTTGATGACTCTTCCCAATGCCTCCCAGCAAAGATGGCCACTCAGGGGTACAGGGATGGCACCTGGTCCTCACACTTCTGCCCTCAATTCAGAGCATGTGGCTCAGATCTCTATGGATACCATCTAGCTGTTTCCCTCCTGGGCTTCCCATGGATGTGATCTAGAGAAACACCATTTGTTTTCTTCACCTTCTGTAAGTCCTTGAAGGATTTCTCGGTCTCCTTCAGTTTCTCTAAGATGATTTGCTCTTTGGCAGATATCTGGGACTCTTCGCTTTCGAGAGCTTGTATTTCCTGCTCCAACCTGGAAGACACACAAACAGAGACAAGTTGCTTTATTGTCCTGCTATCTATGAACAAGGGAATAGCTCCTTCCTGCTGGGCAACCTGTACCTTCTTCCATTGTACATTATGCTGAGGAACCAGGTCAAGGTTTTCTATTACAGAACATCCTGTCCATTCAGCCTTGTTGCCAGGCAGACAATGGTTAAAGGAAAACAACCCAGGGCAACCTCCACTGGGCAACCTCCATTGGTCCAAGACCACTGCTCCACAATATGTTTGGTGTCCCTCCTCTCCCCCAACATTCCATAACCCAGCTGATATGCATTTCTTATTTAAGGTAGATGATGTTTACACAGCTCAGGACATAAGATCTGAAGGAGATAGTTTCATATTCTCTTAGTTTCTCAGAATAACATCTCTTTTCTTCAGATGGCCAAGGGAAAAGGGCCAGTCTTGCTCAAAGGAAATACACTGCTAAGAAGTGACTGGTGGCCAGAACCCAGGGGAGGCTGCTATCTTCCCCTCAGTGACCTCTACTGCCAAAAAGAGAGGCAATGGAAGAGGCAGATGCAACTGCTCCTTCTCTTCTGGAACTTTCCTTGGTTTTCACAGACATACTTTTTTTGTTTTGTTTTGTTTTGAGACAAGGTTTCACTGCATAGCCCTGGCTGGATGGTCTGGAACTCACTATGTAGACCAGGCTGGTCTTGAACTCACAGAGATCCGTCTGCATCTGCTTCCCAAGTGCTGGGATTAAAAGCAGGTATCATCTCATCCAAAGTTTTATATATATAGTTTGTTTGTTTATTTGTTTGTTCTTGATCTCCCTGTAGCCCCAGCTGACCTAGAACTCACTATGTAGACTAGGCTGGCCTCGAACTCTGCCTCCCAAGTGCTGGGAGATCTCCCAGCTGAGATCTATATATTTTGAGGGAGGAAAATTCTAGTACTGCCAACAGACTCTGAGAACATTTCAGAAGAGTAGCTACAGCTATGATGGGGTGGGGTGCAGAGGCTCAGTATCTGTATTCTTCCAGTGGAATGGCAGAAATAATGATCAGCTTTTACTGAGCACTTATTTACTATACCAATAATATATTTACTATACTAAGTATATTTACTATACTAAGAATTCATCTGGGTTTTTTCATTTAACTTTTTGATGACTCTATGAGTAGGGAGCCCCCATTTTATAGATGAGATCATCAATGCTTAGAACAGTTCAATAGCTACTTGCCGGAGAGCTTTGACATAAGAATGCAAACCAGGCAGTCTAACTCTAGCCCTTGCTCCTAACCACTGTCTCAACTCTTACCCCACAGGTTCAATGTCTCACACATTCCTTGTCTCATAAACATGGTGCATATTGAGATACTGATGTGGTGTTGCAACCAGGTCTTCGACAGTTACACAGAGACAGATGTTCTCCTGCCTAAAAGACTCCATACTTCTGTGCCTCTTAAATTCTCTGAACCCATTCATTCATTCATTCATTCACTCATTCATTCATTCATTCATTCATTCATTCATTCATTCATTCATTCATTCATTCATTCATTCATTCCTCACTCATTCAATAACTCACTCACCCATTGTTGCTGCTGGCCATTTCCTATGGTCAAAATGGAAGCTTTGCTGGAGTCTATGCCTGCCTACATGGACCTCCCTCGCTCTCCTCCTCTTCTAAGCCCTCTTGGGAATTGGCTACCAAGTGCATTAGATTTACACCTAAAATGAAGACTTCAGAGTGAACCTTCTGAGAAGTAAGGGACATCAAGATGCAAGCATGAATTTATTTAGGGAGAGACTGTGGCTCATCATAAGCTTTTCTGTTTCCTTCCAGAATGTCAGAACAATGACCCGTGAATAGATGAGATCTGGTTTGGAAGACAAACCTAAGTTCAAATGTACCTCTTTCAGATAAACATAGCTTCAAATACATGGACATTCTGCTCAGTAAAACTGTGAGTCCTAAACTTAGAACACTCCCAAGTACCCAGCCTCCTAGTGCTACCTGATCTCCCTATCACTGTCCTGTCCATTTCCCTCTGTTCTTAACTCACACAGTCGCTCTCTCTGTGCTCTGATGTGCCCCTTCCTGGAACCATTCTTCACGTCTCAGCTCAGGTGCCCCTGCCCCTTCAGGTCTCCACAGAGCCACCACTACCCACCCCTCCACTTTTTGTTTTGTTTTAAGACAGGGTCTTCAGTATCCTAGGCTCACTTCAAATTCACTGTATAGCTGAGAATAACCTTGAACTTCTGATCTTCCACATTGCACCTCCTAAATGCTGAGATTACAGATACATGCCATCACACCTGGCTCATGCGGTGCTGAGCATCAACCCCAAGGCTTCACGCATGTTAGGCAAGCATTCTACTAAGTGATAGCCTCAGCCCTACCTCTACATGTTTCTTAGCTCATTACTGTGGTTTATTAGCATTCTTCTCAAGTCTAATGTATGTTACTACAGCAGTTTTCTATTTGAGGTGATTTTCTTCCTGGGGGAAGGCTGGCAATGTCTCTATTCCGGTTGTTTATAACTCAGGGGGAGGAATACTAATGTTATTGTCATCTGGTGAGTGGAGGCCAGGGATGCTAATAAACTCTCTACAATGCACAGGACAGTTCCTGCAGAGAAGAATGATCTGGCCCCCAGATAGCAACACACATTATTAATTTCCCCATCTGGATTAATAATTCATCAAGGGGGATACACATTCTCAATATACATATTCAATATGCAATGAACTTTCAAAAAGCGGAACCAAGTCGCATCAAGGTTGTGAGATGAGACCGTCAGAATTCCTGAGACCAGAGTGAATTCTTCAGCAAGCTTTGACTTGGAAGCTGTGTAGGAGCCGAATACAAACAAAATCTAAAGGAGAGGAGCTGAGTGAAGCAGAGATATGAACACAGGTGTAAAACTCCTTTGCTGCCCCAAATGTTCAGCAAAATCTTCTACATACCTCTCTATGAATTATTCCAGGGGGAATAGAGGAGAGAGGTATAAGAACAGTTCTGGAACAACAGACATGGGACTGTCAAATGACCCACTGGCTGAACCAACGGGATGTGTAGAGGAGCCCAGGACCAATGTTTTCCTAAACAGAATACTATTGGCCAGGTGAGTTCTGAGATAATCTCGAAAGAGAGAGTATTTCAGCAGATGCCTGGGATGTGCACAGATATCCTCAAAAACATCCCTTCCATCTCGCCTTTGTCTCCCTGGGAAGAACACCTACGTCCCTGGGCTATTGATGTTGACCTCTGACATGCCATTTGCTGCCCCGTCTCTTGATATTGGACTCCACCACGTGACACATGTTAGCCAATAAAATGGCAGACATGACACAGGTAGAGGCTTGGATAGACTTGAGTTGGGTTTGTCTCTTATATCCCTGGCAGTGCCAAGAGAAGAGCTACTCTGGGCAGCTGTGGCCTGGGTTTGGAAGGAGCAGACCTGAGCGTCGCCCATTGTTGGAAGGCATACCCCGTCAATGCCACACAGTAAAAGAGAGTGACTCAATGGAGCCTAGCTTCCAAAAGTGTCAGAAGAATAAATAAGTTCTGGTTTAGGCCAATAAGTTTGAGGGAGTTTTGTATTGCTTTATACAGGGTCTTGTTATACAAGGTCAGGCTGGCTTTGGATTTGTGATCCTCCTGCTCTGGCCTCCCCTCAGTCCTAGGATTACAGCCAGAGGGAATTTGTTATATAACATTATTGTAATAACAATTAACTGAGACTGATCAAATATGTATGTGCATAAACTCTATTCATACACTAATATATGTTTCAATAATATTTGGTATGTTAGTATATTCTTATGGTTATATATGTGTATATATTTATGTCTTTATTATTAGATGTTTATATGTTTAATAGTATTTTTAAAATATTGATTACTTAATGTGTATGTGTGACACGTGTGTCTGGTGCCTGCGGAGGCCAGAAGAGAGCATCAGATTCCCTGGAAGTGAAATTACAGGCAGTGTGCACCAACATGTGGGTGTTGGGAACCAAACCCAGGTCCTCTGCAAGAGCAGCAAGTGCTCCTAACTGTTGAGCCATCTTTCTAGTCCTCCAGTAGTATCTAAAGCTAAACAATCCTGCCTACTCCCTCCGACCCCCACAAATCTGGAGGGAAATGAGTCACTCCTTCATAAAGATTAAGGCTGCAAAAAGAAGAGAATGTCAGTGGTAAATGTCTCTGGCTAATAGGGTTATAGATTATTTTAACTGTGTAATTTTCAATAGTTTCTCAATTGAAAAAAATCATGGCTGAGGATATGTCAACGGTAGAGTGTTTGCCCAGCATGTGCAAGGTCCTGGCTTTCATCCTCAACACTTCAAAATAAATAAATAAATAAATAAATAAATAAATCATGCATTACTTATCTAACTAGATTGTTTGACTTAGAAAGCAATTAATTGCCTTTAAAAAATGCCCCATGAGACCTCACGCTGAAAAGACTGCTCATGGGCTATGGGATAAGAAGGGGCCCTGGCTTCAGCTTTTTGGTGTCAATTAAAGGGGTTAAATAGTGCTCCCCAACATCTGTGTAAATGCAAAACCAACATGTACTGAGCTTGTTTGGCTAGTTGCAAAGGCACTTGAGTCTAAAACAAACCAAGACTGTGTTAAATATGATGGAAAAAAAAAGCTGTATCTAAGGAACTCCCTGCCTTCTGGTGCAGCAGCGCCAGGTGGTTGAGAATTCTCTGTGACCTGATGCCCACTGGCTGGCCTGTGTCTCCATAGCCTGCCCCTGCTCTTTGGGTTTCAGTGAGCTCAGCTCTATAGTTTAGATGCTATAAAGATTTGGGTCATGATAATGTACCGTAACTGAGAAGGAATGGGGGGGGGGGGCACCAACGAAACTAAACCTTTGTGTTAACAACAGTTTTACCCAAAAGGGAATGACTCAAGGAAATGGACAGTCCATGTAGTCTAAGCAAGTAGCTGGATCTAAGAAACAAATTGTTTCTGGAAGTTTTCCTTACAAAGTACCTGTGG